AACGAGCCATAGACAACAGCGCAGCAACAAAATAAAAAGTAGCAAAAGCAAGTATGTAAATAAAACAAATAGCAAAACAAGAGTCTGGAAAACGCTACTCCTAAAGTGAAAAAGAAGAAAACAACATAAAGCCGTTAACTGCTCACGCATACACGCGCACAACTTTTAGCTGTAGTAAAAAAAAAAATAAAAAATAAATAAAATAGTTATTTCTCTTTTTAATAATAATTATAATTTTATGGCGCAAACAAAGTATGTATGTATACGTAGTTTGTGCATTTTAGTAGTTTAAGCGAATACTGCGTTTTTAGAATTATCGTTTTTGTTAAAAGTGTGAACAGTACTTAAAAACAATAACAAAAAGATACTTGACACAAAACTTGAATTGCAGTTTTTTCAACGACTACACCTACTTAGATACGAACACCCACTGCGAACAGTATTCGCACGGAGAATTTTTAACAATACGAGTACATACAGTGCCGGACAGAAGTATTGGCACAGAGAATTTTTCGAAATATCTGCAAAGTTTTTTATTCTAATTTATTTACGATAATTTTTTATAAAAACAAAGTTCGTCGTTGACCAAAAAACCTAAAATCTAAATTTGTATACTTTGTGCAAAACTCAGGAAAATTCAATAAATTTGCATACTAATTTGCATCTTTCTATTCAGGTTTTTTAGAATTTCTAAAAAATGTTAAGTATGCAGTAAAACTGCATCTAATTTTAGTACTACAAAGTGCAAGCTTGTAGTTCTTCCATACAAAGTATGTTCGCCAATTATTTTTGGTATGGAGAAAATGAGCAACACCTTCCACTAAAAAAATTAGATACTTCAAACTTGCACTTTGTTATACTAAAACTGAATGGGCTATAAAAGTTGCAAATTAGTTTGCAAATTTATTGAATTTTCCTGAGTTTTGCACAAAGTTTAGAGATTTTGTTTTTATGTTTTTTTGCTGAAGTACGAACTATATTTTTATTAAAAAATATTGAAAATAATTTAGAATAAAAATTTTTGCATATATTGCGAAAAATTCTCTGGGCCAATACTTTTGTCCGGCACTGTATATGCAACAATTTTTACCTTTGTTTTTTCCTCTAATTTTTTATAAAAATATGCTTTTCATTACAACAAAGAACATGAAAATATAATTTCTAAACTTTTTGCAAAATTCAATAAATTTGCATGCCGATTTTAACTTTGAAATCAAATTTTTTGAGACATTTTTTGAGTAAAGTGCAAGTTTTAATTTGAGTTTGATTAAAATGTTGGAAATCTATTGAATTTTCCAAAGTTTTGCACAAAGTTAAGAAACTATATTTGTAAGTTTTTCTTTTGGTAGTGTGAACCATATTTAATAAAAAATTAGCGGAAAAAATAAAAATAAAAATTCTTTCATGGTTGAAAAAATTCCGGGGTTTTTGGTGAACCTATAAAATATAGTTACTAAGAAAAAACATCATGGGAACGCCCATATATGTAGTTCTACAGCAAAGTCTTTGTGAAGTTGGAAAACGATACATATGTATGTATGTATGTATGTATGTTGATGAGCAAAACAACTTACTGACCATTGTACAGATAGCAAAACAATATGAGGTTATTCACACAGCTCTAAGCAACTTAATAAAATGCAAAGCTATAAGTAATACATATGTACATACCTTCACTTCTGTCCGAAAATAAAAACATTTCATATATAAATAGCAAAAATTTTCTAATACAGAATGCATATATACTCGAAAAAAAAAATGAGGCGAACGACTGTCGAGTATCAACTGTGTCGTATTTGCAGTAATACATACATACATACACTTGTATAGTACAGAAAAAATTTGCATTCACATGTAAAACATTTATATTTTCGTATATTGCTCAAATATCCTTATTTTAATACATTTGGCATGCAGAATGTTGTGCAACTATGTAAATAACTTGTATTTAGTTTAGTATGTACATGTGTATGCACGAGTATAACGGAAAAATAGCATGGAAGGATTGCAATAAAAGAGATAAAAGTTTCCCCGCACATGGTTTTTTTCCTTTATTAGAAACAAAGAGAAAAAACTTCCAGTTTCAGAAAGTAGAATTTTTACTCGGGGTATTAAGTATATCTAGTTGAATTTTAGAAAGAATTTTGGTAGAGCATATAAGACTCGTGGAGAGTGAACTCACAATCGGTAGTTAACTCTTGACCTTCAGTAGAAAAATTCAGAGTATGCATAGGAATATACACCCACTATAAAAAGTTCCGTACCTACGTGTTTTTTGCGTAAAAAATAATGTCCGTTAATTTTTTTTTGTAAAAAGATCATTCTGTGATAAAAAAAAAACAATTAAATACAAGATTTAAATTCTGTCTAAAATTTCGATAAAGTCTCCAAATTTTCAGCAAAATTAATGCATTTTATTTCATACAAAGTATGCTTGAAAAATTTTTATATGGGAGAAAGCATTATTCAAAATCATTGGGATTTTGTAGAAACTTTAAACCGCGGCCGTTGTGGTGTAGTGGTTAGCATTGCGCGCTATCATTCCCCGAGCCCGGGTTCATGCCCTTTCGGAGTTGGCGTAAAATTTAGAATATTAAAATTAAATGGGCTATAAATCTGCGTACCTAAAAATTTTCTGGAAATTCTGACAAAAAAGTTTTGAAATTTTGCTGAAAATTTGTCAAGCTTTTCAAAATTTTACACAAAATCTGAAACTTATGTTTAAATGGTTTATGTTATATATATACATATACTTACATAAACTATATTTTCATGAAAAATAATGTTTTTTTTAAGACCCGTCCTCACCTCGATATATAAAGTTTTGAACCAAAACTGGCAAGAATTCCTAATATTTTAAACAGAAATGAGAATGTAAAAACGTGATTAATGGATATGTATCGAAAGAAGTATACACTTATTTTTTATTTTGAAATCCAAAAATATTTAGAGGTCGCTCAAAGCGCCCACATTTTTCCATGTATTTCATATGGCGAAAAACAACTTTTCGTGTAAATGATATGGAATTCTTGAAAATCAACATTTTTCGATCGGAAAGCTCTGTTTCTCTTGGTGAGGGCATTAAAATTCCGACTTAACTTATTTTGGACCACCCTATAGTACATACAAACATGAGCTAGCGAACTTATGACGCTAAATCCTGCAATTCTTCATTATCGCTCAAGCGGATCCTACTACATCTGCAAGTTGAGTTCGATCAAAGATTTACCACCACCAAAATTCAAATTGAGATTCTTTGCAAATTATGTTTCATTTCCTTTTTATTTAAAATACAATTCAAACTATTCCCGAAACCAAATTTTAAAATTTTAAAATTTTTTAAATCAGAGTTTTTAGAAAAATTTCGGGTATACAGTTTAGTTTTATAAAGTGCAAGTTTCAAATAGCTTAAAATTACCGTTGAGGGAGAGTGTTGCACATTTTCTTCCATTTAAAAATCGATTTTGTTCAAGCGTTAATTGATTAACCGAACAACTAGTTAACCAACTTGCTCGAATAATCGCACAACCCTAAACGGTAGTTTTTAAGATAGACGAAAAAACTGTGTTTAATACGTACGCCATCTTTATTTGTTAGTACTTATATATATTTAATCTAATCTCTGCTGCATAGCTGTGAAGCTCTGTATAGCATTTCAGCTGAATATAGGTTATTAAGAGGCTGCTTCTATTGAGCCTTATGAGTTCTTTGAGTTATTTTTTTTTTTTTTTATCGAATAGTGAGATTTGGTTATGCTTTCAACCCCTTTAAGTAACACATTTTTTTCTTTAAATAGAGCGCAAAGTTTTTACTACTAGTTGTATTACACATGCATACATACCCTGTGGGGAAAATCTCTAGTTCTGAACTGGTGCGCTTCTAGTACATTTAGACCCAATACTGGTTCGCGATAAATCTCTTTTGCATGCAAACAACTGGCGAATTTAACATGGCGATGTCCTAGGAAGTGTCAATTGCCCCCCGCTGCATCCCTTTTTCGATAGTTCCGAACTAGTCCTAAATTCTATAGTTCCGAACTAGTTTTAAAATCGACAGACGAAAGAAAAAAGTATCATAATTTTTCAATCCTTTTGGTTTTTCCGTGTGTGCGATTTTAAGTTATTTTGAAAGAAATGTGTTTTCAATTTGAAATTAAATTTGTTTGAATGATTGTAAGAAATGTACGTTTACATACATGTAGCTGAGTTTGCAGAGGTGCTCGCTGTT